CTCCTCTCCTCTCTCTCCTCTCCTCTCCTCTCTCTCTCTCTCTCTCTCTCTCTCTCCTCTCTATCTCTCTCTCTCTCTCTCTCTCTCTCTCTCTCTCTCTCTCTCTCTCCTCTCTCTCCTCCTCCTCTCCCTCTCTCTCTCTCTCTCTCTCTCTCTCTCTCACCTCTCTCTCTCTCTCTCTCTCTCTCTCTCTCTCTCTCTCTCTCTCTCTCTCTCTCTCTCTCTTCTCTCTCTCTCCTCTCTCTTCTCTCTCTCTCTCTCTCCTCCTCCTCCTCTCCTCTCTCTCCTCTCTCTCTCCTCCTTCCTCTCTCTCTCCCTCCCTCCCCTCTCCTCTCTCTTCTCTCTCCTCTCCTCCTCTCTTTCTCTCTCTCCTCCTCTTCTCTCTCTCTCTCCTCCTCCCTCTCTCTCTCTCTCTCTCCTCCTCTCTCTCTCTCTCTCCTCTCTCTCTCTCTCTCTCTCTCTCTCTCTCTCTCTCTCTCTCTCTCTCTCTCTCTCTCTCTCTCTCTCTCTCTCTCTCTCTCTCTCTCTCTCTCTCTCTCTCTCTCTCTCTCTCTCTCTCTCTCCTCTCTCTCTCTCTCTCTCTCTCACTCTCTCTCTCTCTCTCCTCTCTCTCTCTCTCTCTCTCTCTCTCTCTCTCTCTCTCTCTCTCTCTCTCTCTCTCTCTCTCTCTCTCTCTCCTCGCGGGTACTCCTTTTCCGTCCGTGATTCCGCGTGTGTGAGTCAGCTCGGCCTTATACCCGGCCAGAGAAGGAGGAAGAGGACCGGGAGGGGGGGCGAGCAGGAAGTGCTGGCCCGACGTAGGCTGTAGGAAGGAGGCGGGAGTCGGGACGGGTCCATCTCCGAGAGGCGGATGGAGGCGGACTCCCCTCCCTGCCCCTCCCCCTCCCCTCCTCCTCCTTCTCCCCTTTTTCCTATCCCTTCCTCTTTGCCTTCATCTCTTTCTTTTTTTTTTAGGGTGGTTGGGGGTTAGGATGCGAGACGGGGTCGTTGGAAGGTGCAGTGGAAGGGAAGGTTTAACGAGGATCAACTCTATTCACCAGATGCCCTTCCCCACCCATCCCCCTCCCCTCCTCCCTCCTCCTCTCTTCCTCTCCTCCCTCCTCCTCCTCTCTCCTCCCTCCTCCCTCCCCCCTCCTTTCATCTCGGAAGGTCCTGCAGCCTCGCCAGTGTTTCCACCTGCGATAAATCCGGAGCGGCGGCCGTGTTCTCCCATTGACTCGACTCCGATGCAGCGGTCATGTCACCTCTCGCCGGCCCACCTCACGTTCCCATGACCCCCCCCCCCTCCCTGGGTGAGGGGGGACGGGGCCGCACCTCATGAGCGCATGGGCACGGAGGGACCACGTGGCGCGCGACGGAGCGGCCCCTACACTCGCACCTCTAGGGGTTCCGAAGGACGTCGGCCGTGATCCCTCGGCCGCCGCGGCGTACGGGCGGTATGTATGGCTGCGCAGGTGGGAGTCGCACGCCCGTATATGCAGTTCCCCGGGAGCCGTGTGCGCACATGTGCGGTTTTCAGAAATAGGCTCTCGTTGGGTCCGTCCAAGTGTGACATGGAACGGCTTGAGGATCTTTTTTTTTTTTGAGAGGGCCAGCGAATCGCGCAAGGGCCGGGCACAGGTGTTCGGCCAAGGATGGGAAGGCGAAAGGTGTGCGGGGCGCCTCACTTCCAGGTGCGTGCGAGCTCCGGCGAAGGAGGTGCGTGAAGGGCAGCGCGCGGTGGAGGAAGCGGGAGGGGGAAACGCTCGAGGATAAAAAAGAGAAACAAGGAAATGAGTAAAGGCGACTCGAGGAAGCAGGTGAAGCGGCGAAGCCAAACTAAGAAAACGAAATACCAAATCCCCGAAATTAAATTTCATTTTCGTTTACCTGGCGTCAGGGCGTTTGATTTTCGTGATGTGTGTGCGCGATGCGTCCCTGGAGAGGGCGGGGAGGGGAAGGGGGGGGGGCAAAGGAGGGGGGAGGGGACGAGGTACAGGCGGGAGGAGGGAGGAAAGGAGTACTCGCGGGGAAGGAGGACATGGCACAGCGAGGGAAGGGCGTGCTGTGAATATTGAATAATCCACAAGTGGCTGATTGAGTGGGAGAGTGGAGGACGAGGATGTGGAGTGAAAGCAGGATACGAAGGAGAATCAGAAATGTGGCATGACTGTGTAGATGGGGAGAATGGGGAGGGGCGAGGGAGGAGGGAATACGGGCACGGAGGAATGGCGGAGTACACAGACCCAGGGCGTTCCGTATTCAGCGAAAGAGACCCGAAGGAACGCTCCCGTAATGTGACCGAACGCACCGTGCGCTCGCCCCCTTTGTGTCCCGTCGGCGGCCGCGTTCGCCCGAGCGGTTTGGGACGCTGAGGGTGTTTGCGCCGCCTTATCAGCGCCGATAAGGTTTGGGGACGTGGCAGGTGTGCACCGGAAATGGGGTGAGGGAGTTGACGGCGGAAGTGATGACTCGCTCGGATTTGTTGTGTCCCGCCGAAGTCCCTCGCATCTGGGGCGGTTCTGGGGTCGCGCGGGGTGGCCGATCCCGCCGAGAAATGTCGCCTTCAGAGGAGTGATCACCGCCTGTCCCCGAGCAACACCTGGGGTCCGACATGCCGCGTGACTGCAGTTGCGGAGCGCAAGATGCTTTGTTTGTTTCTGTGCTTGTTTCCTCTGCGTTTCGACGAAGAAGTGTCGATGACGTGCCGCTAAGTATTTCGTGGGATTTCATTGGCTGCTAGGCGATGACGCATTGCTGACGTCATGGGACTCTTGGAGGAGTCATGGCGGCTGGATACGTCAGCTGTGCGCACGTGATGCCCGCGTGGATGTTGACTTCCTATTAATATAATTTATTTGGCCCGTTTCTTTTTTTCGTCCATCTGCGTAAAAATGTGGTGACGCGTGCCGTGATAGGCCTTCCCGAATCGACGCGCAGGTCGCCCAGCTTACGACGTAAATATGATAAAGGATGACCAAACTTAGAAAGGAGTTGCCAGAAGCCGCCAGAATTTCTCGAGTGGAGCAGGATTGCGTAGACATGAGCAACGTCGGCCAGAGTTCGTTCGCTATATCTGGTCGTGATCAGCTGGTTGGCGCAGTTACTGTCGAGACGTGGACTAGTGAGGAAGGAGTGTTCGAGTCTCCCCGTGGATATACTTCATTTTCATCTGTGCTTAACGTCAACTTAGCCGATAAATACAGTGAGTGTAAGTGTGTGAACACGTTCTACAGAAGAGTCTCACTCAGGGCGTGAGTAGGTGATCAGTGCACGAGTGATAGCGAAAAGCAAGAGTTTCACAAAGTGATCGGTGTAATTGAAAGTGTACCGGAGTGATCCATTGTCGGGAACAGGGTCCGTTATTGTGTTATTTGGTGCGTGGTCCGGCGGCCGAGCCTCTCTGGCGGTGGTGACGTGTCGAGTGATAAGTAGGCAGAGTCCAGGCTGACCCCTCGCTGCGGGAAGGGCCAGCCAGCCCCACGTCCCTCCGAGGCCCAGCCGGCCATCGTCAGTAATGGTGGCTCGCGGCGGCTGGTGTTGTTCGGAGCGAGTGCTTGGTGGCCTTGGAGGGAGGAGCCGCTCGCCCTCCTCGGGCTCCTCCTCGGCTCCTCCACGGTGGCCGGCCAGGAGGAGAGGTGTATCGCGGCGTGACCAACAGCAGGAAAGTTCTCGCGGCGCCGTCGTGTCGTTTGAGCCGTCCGTGTGTGAGGACGTTGGTGACGGTGGGGCAACACAAGGCGTTCCACTCTCCTCCCCGTCCGCACGTGTCTTTTCGTTTCTTTCCTCGTTAATTATGTGGGAAGTTCTCAGGCCCAGCGCCACTTTCTCATCTCGGACGGGCCGGGTCCATGCCGAGTGACCGCGGCGAGTGCACTGCAATGTACCCTCCTCCGCCTCCGATGTTCTCACGGTCTCCCTCCTTTTCCTCCCCCGCGCTCGCGCCCTCTCGCCCTCGGGCCGCGGGGCTCATGCTGCGTCTGTCTGTCTGTCTGTCTGTCGTACGTGTTCCTTCGGGTGAGGATGTGCCTCGCTGTGAGTGATGCCGTGTCGGGGCCGCTGTGGAAGGGGGAATGACGCAAGAAACGCGATTCCTGGCGGAGGTGGGATCGGGCGAGACGCAAGGAAACATGTTGACGAAAGTGCTGGGAAAAGAAAATATCTGAGCTGAGTGTAATAAAAGCAGTGACGATGTGCTGGCTGTGGCCATGGCACCGTTGATTAGCATGCGAGATCTGGCCCGTACGAAGCGCCGTGAATGATAACTTACGTCATTGTTGAAAACGTCAGTTAGCCTGCTGCTAAATGTGTGTGTTAGGTAGGTGTGCTGCACTCTGAATTCGACTCAAAAGCAGAAAATAGCCTGCACGTGGTGTCCTCAGAAGAAAGACCCGAAAGCCAGTTCATTGGCACGCGCCGGGACAACAGCGCAGGTACGAGTCGAGTCGCAGGAAACGGCCGAGTTGGAAAATACGTTCCTTAAACCCGGAGAAGCAGCGCCAAGTACGAACTCTTTGTGTACGGAGAGAGTGACGGCATTGTGCCAGCGGTGACGCAATCTGTGCCAGTGATGACGTACTGTGATTATACGTTGTGGCGTGTCAGGAGACAAAGTGATGGTAGTGCACAGTGGTTAGTGGACGCGAGTGTACGTGATCAGACCACGGTGTCGACACTCCGGAGGCGAGGCATCTGAGCGTGTGGCCGCCGCAGGATCCGAAATGACGCCTCGTTTCGCGGGAGAAGAAAGCGAATCGTGAAGGTACGGCGGGGGCGATTCGCGTGATGGAGTTATGGAGAGGAGCACGTGACGGGGATGCCACGGCGAGGCGAACTCGTGCGAGAAGCCGTGCACTCAACTCAGCTGTGCTTTGTCGATCCTGGCCCGGGTAGGGGATGTTTTCATTACCCGACACGAGGAACCAACTGAAGCTTTGGAGACACGAGCCAGTTTGAAGGCTCGTGGCTGCAGTTAGATAATTTGTATTGAATAAACTTGACATGTTTTGCGAGGCGATGCAAGGTCTCCCCGCCCACGTTGCTCGCCTACTGGGGATTTGCAGGTGCTCATCCAGCAACGGACAGTCAAACGGTTTCGAACGAGCACAACCGGCCAGCGGAGAGATGGTTTCTGTGACAGGTTTTCGTGAGTAACGAGTGATTTTGGGCGAGATTAATCGCGGTCGTTGTTTGTTGCAGCGCCGTTTGCCGCCTGTTTGTCTTGTGTTGCATCCAAGGTTGAGCAGTGTTGCGGAAGTCGGCTGAGGCTGCTGTGGCCGCAGAGGCGACGGGCGGGCGGGTTTTCTCCTCCTCCTCCCGAGGCCCTGGCGAGCCGAGGCCTGTTGGCCGTGTGGCTCCGCGGGCACTGAGAGCGGCGGGCCATTATTGCTCGTGAATAGCCTCTGCGAGAGAAGTGCAATTGGCCAGGCCGAACGTGATCACTCGGAGGCACTCGTCAGGGGGCGGGGCGAGAGGGGGGAGAGGGAGGAGAGAGGAGAGAGAGGGAGGGAGGGAGGAGGGAGGGAGAGAGGGAGGGGGGGAGGGAGGAGGAGGGAGAGGGAGGAGAGGGGAAGGAGAGGGAGAGAGGGGGTGGGGAGCGCGGGGAGCGAGGGTGGCTTCAGGTCAAGGTTGAGGTTGGTTGATTCCGGACGGGAGGCTGCCAGCGCGGAAACCCCCGACGCTCTTCCTGGACGCGTTCCTCCCACGGGCGCAACAGGTACAGGTACGTCTTTGTGTCGCGCCTCCGTGGTCCGAGGGCGGCCGGGACACGTGGCATCCGAAGCCTTTGTGCCGCGCCGGATGCCCCCGCAGGATCAGGATATACGGAATGGACGCGCGTAGACCGGTCTCGGGGCTGGGAATCCACTCCCGGCGACGTCACCGACACCGCTCGCTCGCGCCCGTCGGGGTGACTCACCCAACGTCCTGAGGAAACGGTTGTCGGTGTTGTTGTGTGGACGACCTTGTGAGTCAGTGCATTTCGCTGGAAAAAAAAAGTCCCTTTCAAGTAGGAAAACTCATTTTGTGCTAGAAGGGAGCGGCAGTGGTCACTGGTGATGTATTTCGGGATTTTGTGGGAGCTTTGACCCCCTACCCCCTCTCTCTCCTCGCTCTCTCTCTCTCTCTCTCTCTCTCTCTCCTCTCTCTTCTCTCCTCTCTCTCTCTCATTCTCTCTACTCTCTCTCTCTCTCTCTCTTCTCTCTCTCTCTCTCTTCTCTCTCTCTCTCTCTCACTCTCTCTCTCTCTCCTCTCATTCTCTCCTCTCCTCTCTCTCTCTCTCTCCGTCTCTCTCTCTCTCTCTCTTCTCTCCTCTCTCTCTCTCTCTCTCTCTCTCTCTCTCCTCTCTCTCTCTCTCTCCCTCTCTCTCTCTCTCTCTCTCTCTCTCTCTCTCTCTCTCTCTCTCTCTCTCTCTCTCTCCTCCTCTCTCTCTCTCTCTCTCTCTCTCTCTCTCTCTCTCTCCTCTCTCTTCTCTCCTCTCTCTCTCTCCTCTCTCCCCCCTCTCCTCTCTCCCTCTCCTTCTCTCTCTCTCTCCTCTCTCTCTCTCTCTCTCTCCTCTCTCTCTCTCTCTCTCCTCTCTCTCTCTCTCTCTCTCTCTCTCTCCTCTCTTCTCTCTCCCTCCCTCCCTCTCCTCCCTCCTCCCTCTCCCTCCCTTCCCCTCCCTCTCCCTCTCCCTCTCTCTCTCTCTTCCTCTCTCTCTCTCCTCTCTCTCTCTCTCTCTCTCTCTCTCTCTCTCTCACTCACTCACTCTCTCTCTCTCTCCTCTCTCTCTCTCTCTCTCTCTCTCTCTCTCTCTCTCTCTCTCTCCTCTCTCTCTCTCTCTCTCTCTCTCTCTCTCTCTCTCTTCCCCTTCCCTCCTCCCTCTCCCTCTCCCCTCCCTCTCCCTCTCCTCCCCCTCTCTTTTTCGCTCTTTCTCTCTTCCATGCTGCTCCTCTTTTCCTCTTCCTTCAGTCTCTCTCCTTCCCTCCTTCAATTCCCCTTCCTCCTTTCCTTCTCCTTCAATCTCTTTCCCTCCCCCTTATCTCCTTCTGCAGTCTCATTCCTTCCCTCCTCCTTCAATCCCTCTCCTTTCCTCCTTTAATCTCCTCCCTCCTTCCCTCCTCCTTCAATCTCCCTCCCTCCTCCTTCAGTCTCCCTCCCTCCTTCCCACCTCCTTCAATCTCCCTCCCTCCTCCCACCTCCTTCAATATCCTTCCCTCCCTCCTTCCCTCTCCATCCTCTTCCTTCAATCTCCCTCTCACCCACCGCCTTCTTCAATCTCTCTCCTTTCTCCCTCCTCCCTCCTTCCCTCCACCCGCTCTAGCCGCCTCCAGGAAGGAGAGCGGGACAGGGAAGCGGAGATCTGGCCGACGCCGGTAAACTTCATCTAATTCCGAAGCCAACACTAAGCGCCTCGCCCTCGCCCGCTCCTCACATGTCTCTTCACTTTCTTCTTCTTCTTCTTTCGCCCCGCCTTCCACCCCCTTTCTTTCCCCGGCTCTCCTGTCTTAGTGTTGCCAGGATCCCGGGATCTGCAGCGGCGCCGTCATGAGATGACAGTTTGCGGGGACGGTCGCCGAGGCCGGGATCCGGGTGTTTGTGCAAGAGTGAGAGCTCTAATGACGCCTGGGCTGGCTTATGTCTTACAACACAGTAGTCATGTTGTTGTGACCAGGGCGGGCCGAGGCTGCTGCTGCTGCTGCGGTGCGCTCCCCTCGTGCGCCTCTGCTGACTGCGCCTCCGTGCCCTTGTACCCTAAGGAGGGCTTCGGCGAATACCGGTCGCCCGCCTCGAGGAGGAGGAGGAGGAGGAGGAGGCGCTTGAGTGGCGGGGCGCGGGGACGCTCGTCCTTGGCGGCCCGGCTGGCGGGGCGTCATCCTGCTGGGGCGTCGCGGATTCGGACGTCTGGAATATGAAAATGAACAGGAGGGATTCCTGGAAGAGAGCAGACACGAGCGCGGAGAAGGCGGGGCGTGTGGGATCGATAACAGGTCGTGTGGGTCACGCGCCTGCCGACCCTCCCTGCCACGCCGACACCTCGGCTGCACCGACCCCGACCTCTGCCACGCCAGCCTTTCCCTGCCGTCTTAGCGCCTCGCCCCACCGACCCTCTGCCACGGCGACCCCTCCTTGCCGTGCGAGCGCTTGACACCCCGCGCGGCGAGACCTGACTGCCTCTCGCGTGACCGCCTCTGACCTGACCCCCTCGCCCCTCCGCCGAGACGTGCC